GTATAATAGGATTGAATGTAATGTTGTATTCCCTGTCTTACTAGTTAGAAGCTTCGCGCATAGCCTTACAACTATTTTTGATAAGAGTTCGATTATAATGTAGTAGGGGCCACAACAATAAAAAATTTTTATAGCCTAAATGATGGAAGTTCTTAATTCTGCAATAACGTTATACACGCTGTACAAGATTTTATATACCAAAAATCGTAGGTGCTGGAGATGCAACGATACACTAAAAAATTCACCAGGTCGTTTTTCGGTTGAGTGATTGGTGAAAATACATTTTATTGATCTCAATGTGAACTCAATTTATGTGAATATAAATGTATAAATGCATATGAACATACCAATAAACCTACTTTTTAGGTTATTCATAATAGTTTTATTGAAATTATTTAGTTTACGTTTCTAGAGTTTTGTAGATACAAACATTTACGATAAAATAAAAGTGTAAATTAACTTAATAATAATAATTTTCATGACACTAGGCATTATGCTAAATATTATTAGAAGCAAAATAAAAAAATAATATGAAATTGTCACTTGAGAAAATCAGGTACTGTATAATATTACTAAGCATTATTTAGAGATCAAAACGGACCAGAGGTTCAATAAAAGTCTAGTCTAGTCCAGGAGTTTGTAATGACTTCAATAAGTCTAATGACAACCCTGATTAATGATATTACTACACCTTTATCGTCAATAGACAAACATCAGCATTTTAATATATAATTAAATATCATATATTCAAGTACGTTATTTAAACATGCCGTCTATCTACATGCCATGTTAAAATTATCAACTATAATTTTGCTAATTTTTAGTTTTCATGACAATGTTATGCAACTATTTCATTGAAAAATAATGATTCTAATAGTTCAATATATAACACTGTAGTTCATAAATTTTTTATAATATATTTAATTATTTCTAAATATATAAATTTAATCCTTTTAAACTCTGTTTTTAATTTATTCACTAATATGTTTTTCTTCGTTTTCAGGCTTTATATTAACAAGTTTTTTAAGAGCATCAGAAATAAATGGCATTTCATCGTTCTTATAATCCCATTTAAATTTTTGCACTCTTTTGATTATTTTATGAAGCTCATCACGATTAAATTTATAAAATCTACAAATATAAAGTAAATGAAATTATTAATATTACAGTATTAATGTTTGCATAAATTTATAAAATCATTTTTTTAATAAAAATAATAAATAATAATATTGATATTTACATGATTTCAGGGAACCAATTGTTTTTTCTCCTTTGAGAAGGTAACATGTAAAGTAGTTCAATTTCTGATAAAATCTGTTTAAAAAGATTTTTTAAATATATATAATTAATTAATTAATTAATTAATTAATTAATTAATTAATAAAATAAAATTATTACCTTTGCCTTTTGAAGCAAAAATAATTCAGTTCGGTTTGTTTCGGGAATAGCATTACTCAACAAACCAATGAATAAATTCATCAAATAAATTGTTTTAAAAAAAGAAAAGAAAGCTATCAATAGTGCCAATGTTAAATTTTCAGCTAATGTCCAATGCGATAAATAGGTTGAATCACCTATAAATGGTTAATTAAATTGATTGCTAAATTTATACTGATAGAATAATTTTATTAAAGAAAATTAAAATACCTGTAAACATCATATATACAGCCAAGAAAGCAGTAGATAGTGATGTGAACATGTTTGTGGATGTATTGGGAAGTTCGGTAAGTGTAGCAGAGATAGAGCCATTTTGTGAAACAGAATAGTATGTCGTTACAAGATTCCATGGATTATTTGAATCATTTAAATAACTAGGATTATTTAAAGAAATATTGGTTGTTGGTCGTAACAAAATAAGTAAGGAATGTGAAAAGGCGAATACAATAAAAGCTAATATAACTAAAAATGAAAAAGCTTTTTCCGCAACTCCAATAATCATTGCAAAATAACATCCAAATATTTCAAGAGTACGAAAAAATAATAAAAATTTAATTTCAAGAAATAATATGGAAACTGTCGCGCCCCATATAGGAATTGTAGAAGATTCTAACCAATCAATGGAAGTATATATAGGAAATGATATTGCTACTACATCTTAAATATAGTATATAAATATTTATATATTATCAGATTAATTTTTTGAATTTTAAAAATTCAAAAAATAATAATTAAATTTTTTAAATACAATACCAAACCAATTCCAAGGATTTCTAATCCAATATGATGGAAAATAAATAAATAGCCGGAATTCAAAAAAGAGATGTAAAGCTCCAAGAATTATAGTTGCGATTAATAATTGTTCTTGTGTACTTTTAGATAATTCATTTCCTATAGTAGCAACTATTAAAAAGCAAACCATAAAAATTGAATAAAAAGTACAAATGGCCAGAAAGTAATATTTTCCATAGGCATTCCATTTGAAATTAATAAGAGCTTGACCACTCCACCACTTATATAATTCAGAATATTCATAATTAGTAAAAGGACTAGATTTAGGAAAAAATATTTCATAATAAAATTATATTTGCTAGTATAAGAACTAAATTTTGGTAATGAGAAAATTAATATAACAGATTGATTCTTATCATCAGTCTTCTTCTTTAAAAAATTTTTTTTTAAATAAATAATAAATGAACTTTTTTTTAATTCTTTTAATTTTTCTTTAACTAATGCGACAAATGGCATTTTTTCCAATTCCATTTTATCATAAAATAATTGAATATTGGTTTGAAAACGTGTAATAATTTTATTAATGAATGAGGTATTATAAGGATGCGAATAGTTTCCATGACTCTGAAGATGTAATTTTGAAGAAGAGTTTTCAATCGCAATATCTTTATTTGTGCTTAAAGGAATAAGCGAAGTATTTGATAAAAATTGTTTCAATAAGTCAGGATATTTCACTGATAATTCGTTAATTTTAAAGGTGACAATATCTAATAATTTAATATTTGCTAATAAATTGATATCTTTTCCTTCTTCTGCTTTCTTATTAATACAAATTGTATACAATTGTGTCATCAATCTTTCTGTCATTGTATAGTTATTATTCTTTAAAAACCTATTTAAAAGTTTTTGTCCATACAATGATAATGTCATTTTATCATTAATATAATCGGTTATCAATTCTTGAAAAGGGTTAACATTAGTTCTATCAATTATACGTAGATTTTTGTCTTCGTGATAGGCAGTAATTGTTTTAAAATCTGGCCATAGTAATGAACGATTTTTTATTTCATTGAATAATTGTTGAATATTTTCTCTATTTACAATAAATAATTTATATTTATTAATGTCTTCATTATCTAGTTTATCTCGTCGTTTTTTCTTTATATAATTTATATATATTTGATTAAAAGGGAATCCAGATCCTCTGTAATATCGCAATTTAATTTTGTCTTTAATTTTGTCTTTCGGTTTAATTGTCAAAATTATTAAGCCGATAGATGTAATCATTGCCAAATCTCCATTATCCAATAATTTACATCTATAAACAAACCTTTGTTTTGAATCGCTTAAATATTTTGAATAAATCCCCCGTTTATCTACATGTTCCCAATCTTCTTCAGTAGAATCAAATTTCATGGCTTTCTTGGCCTCTACTACTACATTAAATTTGTTGTCTTGTATTACTATCCATTTTACTAATAAATTTTTAGATTCATATGTCTGTTCCTCTTCATCTATATTACTGTCAATATCATTTTTATCATTTTCATCTATTTCTTTTAATACATTTTGCAGAAAATCTTCTATTTGAGCTTTTCTAGGTAGAGCTCTTATTTTACTATAATCTCTTAATTTTTCACGTAAATATTTGATCCATTGTTTCTTAGAAATATCTTGAACCAAAATTTGTCTATCTGATACGGCATAGATTTTTTTATTTTTTGACTTTTTAAATTTTTCAGTGTCTTCATCGGAATTGGAAAGTTCTTTAAAAAAACTTGAAGCAGTGGGTTTATAATCTTTATAGTATTTATATTGCTCAAGGTTGTAAGGATCTCTTATTTCTAAACCATCATTTTCAAAAAATAAAAGTAATCTTTCTCCCTCATCGAATGAAATAAATTCAATATATATTAAATCAGACTCTTTTTTATATTCGCCTATTTAAATTATGTACAATAATATGAAATTAATATAAATATATATACATTGATAAATTATGAATAAATTTAAATAACTTACATTGTGATAAAAGCAACGAATTTTCTGTCAAATAAACGGAAATAATTATATCTGAACTATATGAAGCTTCAACTTCAAAAAATACCACAATTAAAGTTTTTTCTTCATTATAAATGCTAATCATATTTATCACATTAAAGCGTGTCAAATTTCTATTTAATCCTAATTGATATTTTTTTTCAAATAATAACTTATCTAACTTCCATTGTGTTAATGCTCCATAGGTGTCAAGAAGTATAAAAGTTTCATTAGTGTTTATTAAATAATTCCACGCGAAATTTGCTGGTTCTATGAAAATCGAATTATTAATCTTCCAACTGTCATTGCTTAAATTTTTAACCGAAAATTTAAGATTATTTGGAATATAATTTCTAGGTGTAAATGCTTCTAGTACAAAATCTCCATTATCATAAAACATACAATTTCCATGCCAATAATTTTCGATTGGCTCGTCTAAATATGACATTATTAGTTTTATTATTTTATTCTCTTTTTTATGATCAACAATCACTTTAAAAGGATAAATAGTTAAATTTTATTTCTGAATATTATAAGTACCAGTGTCATCATTTATCAATTATTTGTTACTAACCAATTCTTCCGTTATCAGATTTTTCACTATACAAATGTATTGCAACAAGTTTATTATTCGAAACTCCGGCTAAAACTGGATACCCCACCTAGTTGTAGAAGTTTTCAAATTTAAATCCTCGCAAATCTTGTTGACACTTATTGAACGATCAAACTCAAAAAGTGGATCATTAAATTTCCATCCGCAAATTGATTTATCTTCTTCACTCCATGTCGCTGCGTACGTGTAATTCGGCGAGAGCAAAAGTCCTTCAATTTTCTTTCCATTATGTGGTTCATCTTTGATTTCAACAATTGTATGTAAATTTTTATCTTCGTCATTCATTTGTAAAGTATCACTTACTTTGAAATTAGTATAAATAATTTAATTCTTTAACAATATATGATTTATATTATATTCTGGTTTTATGTGTTCTTAAATAAATTTGCAATTCATTAGGCCGTAGCCAGCCTTTCAAGTAAAAATAACAAAAATTCAGATAAATGTATTTACGTGCGTGTACAAGAAAATTTCGTAGAAATACTTGGTTTGTATTGGTATATTTAAAAATATTTTGTAAATATTATTGCTTAGCTTGATTTTTAAATGTTAAACAAAACAATGCTTACCTAATAATGAAAGAAACTCGGTCATTTCAAGATGGCAAAATTCGTACCTTCTGACGAATTTGAAAACTAAGGTTAATATCAAAGCATTAAAAATCGCAAGTATAGCATATTACTATAAAATTTACTTAATTAGTCTATATCAAATACGTAATGCATAGCTACGTTTAAATCCTCTTATTATCCCTTACAACTGTTTCGCAGGCAAATTTGCTGCGAATTGCACTTTCTCAGTAAATTATAATACAGGGGTATGCCATCATAAGGAGACTGTATCGTCCATTCGAGAGCTTTTTGAAAATGATATTCTTGTCAATACACAATATTTCTTCGCTTACGAAATCACATTTTTGTACAGCATCAAATATGCGAAGCCCGACGTGTAAAGATCAGTATTAGTCTTCATTGACTTTCGTATTGCTGGCATACCTGCATTAAAAATGTGATTTTTAATTAAGATGATTGGATATCTGCGTACCTGCAAATTTGCATGATCGATTTACATTGTAAGGGATACGATACGATAAATATTTTTAACGTTAATTTATTTTTTAAATGAACGATAAGTATAATTATTAATTCTGAATTTTTTATTTATAATACAAATTTAGGGTTGTGGAGTGGTTGGTAGTGTGGATGTGATTTCAAAACATCACTCGGGCACAAAGTGTGATACGTCACATGGAAATAACTAGTAACATTTTGTTAATTATTTTCAGTGATGAATTAGTATCACTTCCAGTGCCCAATCCTAAATACAAAGTAGAAATTCACAACTTATCAATTATTCTAATCAGAGATATTGTAAATTCATATTAAAATAGATAATTAATCCTTTGTAAGGCAGAATTAATTTATTTGCTGAATCTGGAATGAATTTCATTAGAACAAACTTCATCGGAATTACTTATCAGAATAAATAATTTCTTCACTTTTTATTTTTGGATTAATACTTACATAAATTTTTCACGAGATTTAGATAATTCTAAATAAAATTTGCTCATCACATTGCCATTTTGTAAAGCTTATACGACTTTATCTGAAGATGGATGTTCTTCCGGTTTTTCGTCCAAACGTTGTTTCATTAAATTAGTATAACACGTTTCTGTATATTCAAAATTTTCTTCAAGAACTAATGGCATTAATTATCGAACACTATTTTCTCTTGCAAATGTAAGTCCAATAATGATATTCCATAATAAATTTCCCACATAATTATCCCAAATGAGTAAATATCAGATGTTTCTGTATATAGTTTTCTATTTTACCATAATTTCCGGAGCTATAAATGGTAAAATTTCACAAACCTCACCATTTTCCATCCTCGAAATATATATTAATTGGTATTAAAAGTCCTAAATCTGTAATATATGCTTTCTACTAAGATGTTACCACTATGTAAATCTCGGTGAATAAGTTCTAGAGATGAATTATTTAATATAAATTAATTTCACCAATTTCACCAATTCACCAACAATTTCACCAATAGTGGTGAAATTATTTCACCACATTTCACCATATTCCACCAGCATCTATAATCAGAAGCAATACAATACAATAATTTTAATTTATCTTTCCATTCTATTTGTGCAAAATGGTCAAAATTACTACGCAAAGAACCCATTTTTGCTAATTATATAACAATATAATTCTGAGAAATTTCATCTTTTGAAATTCCGAAGCAACTTAGGAATGATGGATTTTTATTGCCAATATTACAATGTGTTTTGCTTTAGTATTAAAAAAGAATTTATTAAAAATAAATTGTTAAACTTTCAAACATGCTTGCACATAAATCAAATTACCTCTTTTATATAAATTCTTCATAATTTTTCATTGATTTATTAAACAATTTAAGTGCAACAGGTAATGATACCATTGTAAATCTTCCTTATCCTATATATTGTCTATTTTTAAATTCGTTATAAAGGATCCAAGACAATGGGTATTTGCTTTCAGCTAGAATTTTTTTAAATTAATGTCAATACATAAATTTTATGTATTCGACTGTTTGTTACTGAAGAAAATTAAAATGTTATCCTTAAATCATTTGACAAATAATATAATAATTTAAATAATAATCACCCAGCATTTGTTTCCGTTCCCTGGATCCAGTACTATTCGTTGACCTTTTGCAATTCTCTTTTTATTTCACATCCAATTCTGTAACATTTTGCAATACTAGACGTTCCATTAACGTCTCCCATCTTTGCTGATTTTGAAAATAAACATATGCCTAATGTTTATTTTTTTTCAACTCCAGATCCTTTAGTATAACAACATCCAGCATTGTATGCTCCAATAGAGTGTCCAATCTCTGCTGATTTTTAAAATAAATTTTCGTCCTTTTCGTCTCCAACTTCATTTTCATAATTAGTTACTAAGCGCAATTATCCTATCTGCGCATCCCATCTCTGCTGATTTTTGATAGTAAATAAATGCCTTATGTTTATCCTTTTCAACTCCCCCAATAATATGCAAAACAACATCTAACATTATATATTCAAGCAATCTCTGTAAATTTCAATAATAAATGAATGCTTTATTTATATTTGTTGTGTCTCATATCGGTTCTTGCCTCAGGTGATAACCGAGGCACTTCATACGTCAATCGTCAAATAAGGTGCGTAACCTGTTGATTAGCATCTGAGGTATCTTAGTTGTTATCTGAGGTAAGAGAATAAATTGTGCCAGGTTATTAGCATTATTACCTTACCATACATCTACTTATTTATGTTCATAAAAATCTCTATTAATAAATTTTCCATCTACTGCTTTGTAAATTCTCTATTTTATTTGTTACTATTTTTTTATTTTTTATTATTTTTTTTATTTTTTTATTTTTTTATTTTTTATTTTTTTTTTTATTTTTTTAGTTTTTTATTTTTTATTTTTTTATTATTTTTATTTTTTATTTTTTTTTTATTTTTTTATTTTTTTTATTCTTTTATTTTTTTTA